CTAGCTCAGATAGTAGAGCAAATAAGAGTTGTTTTTGTGTATCATCTAAATGTGGTAGGTTAATTTTATTTTTAAAAGCCTCTATATCTTCATTTAATACATCCACTGGTTTACTATATAATTCTGAATAAAAATTTTAAAATTAACAATTAATATCCATTGAAGTTTTATACATTTCATCTCTTTCACCTCTAATGATTGGAATCATTGCCCTATCTTTTTTTTTGCTTTAAACTATTAGCCAAGATCTTACTGGGTCTTTCACCGTTCTCCCAGTATCTCTGCTGTAAACATGTTAGCCTAAATTCTGTCTGCTGTGATATTATAATAGTTAATTCATATTTCTTTTTCTGTATTTCTCTGTACAAAACTGTAGATGGGCATCTAATCATCTGTGCCAATAAATGTTTCAGTTCATCTTTCAAATTATTTTTTATTTTTAATCTTAGTTTTGTGTGATGCATAACCAATAATTCTATCTCGAATGTATGCTTTATATGCTTCCCATTCAAAAATTCGGGCACTTGATACTTCTGAATTTAAATCAAAATATTGTAAGGTCTCTATCCACATTTGTTGTACAAATTCTTTAACATTCAATAGGGAAGCATTAAGATACCAATTTCTTGATACCTTAACTGGTTTCTGAAATACACATTTTTTAATAATAACTTTATTAATTTTTTAAAAAAGAACAACAAAAGCTAACAAAAACTAATATTAAGAAAGAAAATAAGAGAGAAAAGGAATTAGAAAAAAAGAAAATAATAAAGATCAAAGGTGCAGAAAAGAAAGGAAAAAGAGAAAAACAACAGCAACAACAAAAAGAATTGACTTCCGACCATCCCCAGAACAGATATAAGTAACAATATACATTGTTCTTGTTCTAAATTTACAACATAACTTCCATTATTTCTATTAACCCATATTATTTCTAATCATCCAACCCATACAACATATTTTCATTTTTTTTCTACATCTTGCAAAAAGTCCAAAAAAGATTTCCAGTTAGCACTAAAATTACACAATATCTTATCTCGAATCAAAGCCATCATTTTTGCCATCTCAGC